TACAGAGATACATCAGATATGTAGAACAATCCACAGGTAAGGAGGTACAACAGTGTCCATCTTCCTTCTAAAGTATTTAATCTGTCATTTGATTTTGAATCAAAACATTTTAAACCCTGACTTGGAAACTAATCCTAATCACATTTTATGTAAAGTTGTGACAAACTTTCCGATTTCAAAGCCATGGAAGGAGGGGTCTACAACACCTGGTAATCAGACGATGATGGTGGAAGTTTTAAGACCACTTGGGAGGAGCTTTTCAGTCCTCTCTGATTTTTTTTATCTCAGAGCTCAGAGGACATTCTCGCTGAGACAAAACATGAAGTTTTGGGAGCAGTTGGTCGTGACTCTTATATGTTGTTATGACTGGAAAAGTTCTGGGATGTCTCATCCTAAACCAGCCTGTCGGTATCCTCCTTCTCAGTGGTGTCGTTCTCTGGAGATCGCGGTAGAATGCAAGGTGAGACTATCGGAGGGTCAGAAGGGACTTTTTTCATATGATTTAGTTTAAATTGAGTCTAAATGTTAAAGAATGTTAAAAAGCTGAGCATTTCATGTGTGACGCTCATCTAAATGTAAGGAGATGCTTTTATTGATGTTTTTAAGGTAATTACTTTTAACTGATGCTTTGAGTTCTTATCTATGAAATATTCCATTTATTTCTCATTTCTAAATTGTTTTGTATTATTTTTGGAGGAACTTATGTTTATGTCAGCATCTGATTTATCGACCAATAGATCATTCCTGCTAGTTAATAACAAATATTGCAGTTCTAAGAGGTTTTTTCCTAAACACTGAAAGCTGTTTACAGCACAACCAAAGGTTTCTGGGCTTAAATGAAAGTCATGCTTCAGAAATTGAACACCAGTGGTTTTTCATGTGACTGAACAGAGAAGCTCTGGGTCACTTAATCACATTAAAAGTGGTACGAGGCAGGAAACGCCACTAAACAAATCTCACTCCCAATACTATGGACCTCTTCTGCATTTCAGGTTCAGAATCAGTGCATGGAGCTTAATGCCATCAAGCCAAACCAGACTGTTCCTCAAGTATCCGTCACCCTGTACTACGAGAGTTTGTGTCCAGACAGCAGACACTTCATCACCCATCAGCTGTTCCCCACATGGACCATGCTGCAGGACATCATGTCTCTCACTCTAGTGCCTTACGGAAACGCTAAGGTCCGTTTGTTAGGTTTCTAATGCAGGAGCGTTCCAAAGAAGGAACGTGATCAGTAATGTCCTCCTTCCTTCTAAAAACTTTAATTTCTCACTTGTAGGAAATGTTTCCAGCGAATTCTCCCTTCGCCTGCCAGCACGGAGCACCGGAGTGTCGAGGAAACATGATTGAGGTTTGTAAGCAAACACCTTTGCATTATTACGACGATGATGATGAGTGGAGCTTTTAACTCTGATCAGTCTCCTCCTCAGGCTTGTATCATCAGTTTAACTGGAAACTCACTAGCAGTTCAAATCATCTACTGCATGGAGTCTTCCACAGATGTCCTCGGTGCAGCAGAGTCGGTAAGTGTGGAACTTTTGACTTTTTCACATGGCGGATTAAAACTAACGGTTTCCTTTTATAAAAGTGTCTCCAGCTTTACGCTCCCTCTGTGTCCTGGTCCAGCGTTGACTCCTGTGTCAGCGGAGATTTGGGACATCGGCTGATGCATGACTACACTGTCATGACCAGAGCTCTGAATCCGGTCCACTCGCACGTCCCTTGGGTTACATTTGATGGGGTAAATAAAACCCATGTGGAATAATAAGAGGCTTCTGTACCCTTTCCTCCATCACGAATCGTTGTGTTGCAGGAACACACGGATGAGATGGAAGACAAGGCGATGTCATCCCTCTTCCATTTGGTTTGTGAGCTCTACAAGGTGAGCATTAGTGAATAGAAGGGTTTTTTATTCAACACCTACGTTTCCTTATGGCTTTCTCTATTTTAGCTATGATTTTGGAGAACTAGGGCACCAGGAGGCTACTGACATGTCCTTGTCCTTCACAGGGAGTGAAGCCTCCAGCCTGCACCGGAGCTCCAGTCAAACTGAGCAGAAGTGGCTGCTAAACTCACTAAAATCTATTTAATGTGTCTGTAACCTACTAAAAAATACCAGTAACCCTTAAAGACAGATCATTAAAGTCCTTTGTAGAAGTCTCTATTGAGTGAATTTTTCTAAAATGTCTTTAAGGGGAAAAAAGCAGAAATTTTTAGTCTCCAATAATAAAAACAGCTGGTTGTAAATTTCCATAAAATTTATTGGCATTTTTCACGTGAAACACCCTGAACTCCCGAAACTCTTTTGGCTTCAAATGCAAAAAAGAAAAAAATAACCAATAATAATAAATTCTTTGACAAACATTGGAGTGGCAGACATTTACAGAGTTGTAAAGTATACTTGTTTTTTCGGCTCCAGAACATGAATCAGTTATGCTGTTACAGTACTTTGTCTCGACACATATTAAGAATAAATATTTTAGACATTTTGCACGACACAGAGGCTGGGGGGGTCAGACGACGAGGTGTGAATGAAGGCAGTATAAACAGAGTCAAAGCAGGCATGCTCCTGCTTCGCCACACATGTAACACTGGGTGGCGCTGGTGAGCCACAGTGCTGAATTTACCATAAACCCTCAGACCATTCAACTGCTTCAGACAGGAAAACGCTCTGGGCCGAAGTTTCAAGTCTGAAAAGACTAAATGATGAAAATGCCACAGTTTGCTTATTTTTAATCCAAAAGCATTTGGAGTGGTTTAATGTTGCAAACAAATAAAATAAAATCCCTATCAAGTTGCTGTTTAAAATGTCTCTGGGGAAAAAGCTCTTTTTATTGTTTTTAAAACATTTGAAACAAGTTATTTCTGGTCTTTAAAAGAAAGTATTAATTTTAAGACTGTTTTAACCCTTTAAAGCTTTCAAAATGAAGTGATTTAACTGGTTTAGTTTAAAAACAAACTATTTAATGCTATTGTTACTGATTTATAATTATATAACAATATAACAACAATAAAGAAATGCACCTGACCCTTTCCACCTGTAGATCCTCCACCAGGGGGCAGCAGACATGTGTAGGGCCAGAAATGGCGGGTCTCTGATGAAGGTACTAATCCTAATCTAGATGTTTAAAGCCCGTTAGTGGTTTGATGCAAATTAGTGACCTTCATCTGCAAGTGGTTACTGCTCTGTTAGATTATCTAAAGTATAATCACATGATGCAGATTCTTAACAGGTGGTGTGTGTGTGTGTGCATGGACGTAATTTTCACTTTAGAAGTGGGGGGGACACGGGGGTGGGGTATCTTTACAGTATGTTCTAATGGCAAACAGGCTTCAACACAAACGGTTGTTTTCTGCTTGGCCCTAGAGCTCAACCAGTGTCAATTTAATATAGCGTAATATTGGTTTTGGATGGTGAAAAGTGCAGGGGTCAAAACTTGACTTTGGAAAAAGTGGGGGGGACATGCCCCCCCTGACCCCCCCAAAATTACGTCCATGTGTGTGTGTGTGTGTGTGCGTGCTGTTATAAGAATCAAAAACTGGACATTTTCATCATGTTAAAGCCTCTAAAAGGAATAGCTGAAACTCAAAGCTGGATTTCTGACTACTTGACTGCTAACATTTATAATCTACTAGGAATAAAATAGATTTAATCAACCCAGGACTTCTAAATGAAACACTAAAGTAAAACTTTTATGTTGTTGATGTTTAATGCTCTGTTTAAGGAAACAATAGTTTAGAATTTTTCCAAAACTGAAGAAACATAAAAATACATTTAAAACAAAACAGTCTGAGGGTCAGCATCTAAAAGCAGCACGATGGTCCTTTAACACGAGGCGTACGCCTCGCCTATCACAAGTAAGGCTGATCAATAAAGCTTACTAACTACATCAGTAAAATACTGTTAGACTAGTGTTTTCTACAACTGCCTAACCAGGAAGCAAATGTAGTGCTGGCTCACCTCCCGGTTCGTCGACCTCAGCGATGAGCACTGCTCTAGACTTCATGTGAACTTGGTACAGAAAAAAAATAACACACAAAAGTCATGAAACGCCTGAAACTACACACATTCACAGGTCTGGGCAGCAAACTCTTCCTACGCTGCACAAAAACTATTCAAATGCTGCTTTAAATACTATTATTATTATTATTAATGTGTCATTTGTAAAAACTAACACTATAAAGTTAATGACGTTGATACAATCATGTTTAAAATCTCTAGAGTAGAAATGTACAGCTTTGTAGGCTGGCAGGTGTGTGTGTGTTATCAACACTTGTGGCACGCTTTCATCCCGGTTTAACAGCTTCCACCGAAGAAGACCCATAACCTGATGGGTCGCTCTCCGGCTGGTTTGAATGACAGGCAGCTTGGTTTTTGTCACAAGCTTCCAAAACTGAGCTCTACAGATGTACCTGATGGCAGGGCAAGAGGGCACAACTCACATTTATGACTTTTACATTTTTTAATTAATCTTATTTATCTCGGAAAGTCACTCAGGGGATACCTATAGAGCTCCGGGAGTTGACGTCACTTCTCCCGGGATGCAACAGTTCAAATCGAAACGGCGCCATATTGGCATGCAGAAGCCCGCAGCTGGACTATTTATTGTCAGAAAACTCAAACAGGAAATATGGTAGATTCCTGATGTGCCCCAGGATGCAGAACAGACGCGGACGACATAAGGAATGAGCCATCTACAGGATTCCCCAAGATCCGGAGCGCCGCAAACGTTGGATCATTGCAGTAAAATGCGCTAGTGACCGGGCTAAAATGAAGCTGTGGGATCCCGAGAGTAAAGGTTTTCGCTTATGCAGCGACCACTTCATATCAGGTACTTAAACCAATGTTTCCTCAACTGTGTATGGTATTTATTTTAAATGCTTTTATTACAATTCTTAGTGGGCTTCCTAAACTTATTTTGGCGTGGCTTTTTCTGTCTTATTACTCATAGCAACAAGTAAACGTCACGTTAAACGTTGCCTCGTGAGTTCTGTGTGCTGCCGTTTACGTGTTTTATGATCACAGCAATTAACCGGCTAAGCTGTATTTCATTTTAAGCAATGGTTGATCAATTGTCAGATCACACATAAAAAGCACTTTGGATTGCTATTATCGGTCTCACCGAGACAGATCTCAGACAGATCCTGAGACGCTCCTGCCTGACATATTTATTTTATTCACGGAAAACAATCAAACTAGTGATTTCTCTTGGCGTTCAGTTTATACATTCAAACAGCACAGCACTCCATTTAAACTACTTATGTGTAAATCTGTTATTTGTCCATCCATCCAATTTCATCCGCTTATCCGGAGTCGGGTTACGGGGGCAGTAGCATCGAGAGGCCCAGACTTCCCTCTCCCCAGCCACTTGGGCCAGCTCCTCCGGGGAAATCCCAAGGGGTTCCCCGGCCAGGTCCGGTAAGAAGTCCGCTCCGACAGCTTCTGGCGTTTTTAAAAAGTATCCCAGGGGCACGATAAGGGTCGGAGATGTTTAGTCTATTTAATTTCTGACTATATAAAATGATTTCTTCGGTTTTAAAGTGTGAAGTAAATTCAGACGAAGTCAAATCCAAGCCAATACCGTCCATGTTCATGTTTACGATCCGTGTTTACCTTTTTTTCCTGCCAATATGGCGTCTACTAACTGAGAGTCACGTGGGGTCCGGAGCTCTATAGTGAGGATAAGGAAAATGTTTAAGTGGCTCTTTGAATTTATAAAATGATGAGAGGCTGGAGTAACTTTCTAAGTTCACTTGTTTTTTCAATACATTTACAGTAGTCTCTAGTATAAAACAATGCCTTGTCAGTTGAAAAAAGGGGAATAAGGCTCTGGCACTCCTGTTTCATGAAGTAAAATTTTGTCTAGTCCTGACATTTTGACATCTCGCTTCTGACTGGCTAAGAGCAGCGTGACTCTACCACTGGCTCCATTAGGGGTGGGAATCAAAAACTGGTTCTTGTTGAGAACTGGTTCCCACTGTTTCATTTCCTAAGAATCGTTTGCCATTTTTGCAAACGATTCTATCAATTCCAGTCTGTGTTAATGACGTCACCACGCAAGTCGTGTAGCTTACGCATTAACTCAGATGGAAACATGGCGCCTAAGCGGCACAAGCGCTCGGTATTTTGGTTGTACTTTACAAAATAGGATGTCAACAGGGCAACTTACAATACTCGCAAAGTAGATATTTCATCAGAGGGAGGAAACACCACGAATATGCAAAAGCATTTATGCACAAAATATGCGATAACTTTAAAGGTGCATTATGTAGAAATGAAGTAAAAATGACATACTGTGGTAAAATGTGGTTACTGCAACTACTTTAAACAACTCTGGAGCTTTTTGCCGGCGCTGCAGTACTAGCTTGTAGGAGACGCGGCACCCCCCACACTGTTGGTAAACAGTAGTTACGCCCCTCCTTCCTTTGTTTTGGAAGGAGAAAAACTGACAATCCCCGCAGCCAGCTGGATATGAAACAAGTTTCAGTTTAACCTTCCTTCCAAAATGACTGGAACATTAGACTTGTTTGGGATTTTCTCATTGTAAAATTCTCATTACTTTCTTACATTCTGCACCTTTAAAGTGAATGTTGTGTTTTCCACCCGCTCCGGACTAGAGCAATGCAGCAGCAGCAACGTTTGTACATCCTTCTGTTAATACTGCAGGTAACCAACTCCCACCCCTATAATCCATTGTCTTTACGATGTTTTCTCTCCACAAATAGCATACGCCTGAAGGAGTTCTGCCATGTTGTGGAGTTGCTAATGCTAACGGTTAACTTCTACCAGTCGAGACATGATCTGCTATCTCCTGGATGCTAAATCAACAACAGCCTTCCTTGTTGTCAGCCAAGACAGGTGAGTCCATGACTGCTAATTTTCAGTGGGACATAGATCTGTCAGACTGAGTGTTTGCCCGTCTACTTTCTATTGGTGGCTACTGCAGGTAATAGGGGTAGAAGACCATTGTTGCATTCGGCCTGCACGTTACACTCAGAGTGAATGATCGTATTTTAAAAATAACACGTAAAAAACGGTTTCTCAGAGAACTTGGGTCTGTAAAATCTCATCTGTGATGAGAAGAATCTCGTATGCTGGTTCTTCTCACCCACCCGAGCTCCTGCCCTGCCCTCTGGTACCGGCAGTCAAATGTTCTGTACAGTTATTTTGTGATCTGTAGGCCTACAGAGGGTGAAGCCCTTTGTGTGACTGAAGAGAAGAGCTGAACGGTGAAGACGGTAAAGTGCTACTGCGGACTGGAGGCACCCTGATTTTAAAAAGCACAGAAACACACATGAGACTAGCAAACATTCCACAAGGAACAGCACGGAAATTAAATAAGAAACATTTAAAAACATTTAAAATAAGATGTAAAAATAAACTAAAGCTCTGACTCATTATACAGGCAGTGTCTTGTCTTCATCACAGGTGAGACTCTGGTTCTGTCCTGTGGTGCTACGAGCTGGTTCAGGATCTGATTGCTTCAACTGCCAACTTCTCTATTAAAGGGTTGAAATAAACTTGGAGACGCACGTTTGAATGTGGTCTGACAGGAAAGACGGTTTAAGGGTGGGGTCAGGGGTTTTCAGTACGACTGTGCTACATTAGGTTGATGCTTCTATTCATACCCTGAGGTTTAGGTCCATCCATTTATCACACTGCTCCTCCACATCCTGTATTTGGTTAATGATTCATTCCACACGTCACTCCCAAAGAAAATAAACCACTCTTACATCGACCGACTCAAATATCTTAAAACCTAAATGAAAACTACGGTGCAAAACTATTTTTCAAGACCCTGTCACACCACTGTGATGCGCACTCGCTGCTCACGTTCGGACGTCACAGTTGTTTAGGAGGAAGACATTTCCTGTACTTTTGTTACCTTCTGGTTGAGTACAGGCCTCGACTCCACGCTTCTTCCTGGTTTAAATGCAGCAATATTTGATTGGAATGATCCAAATTAAAGCTACAGCAAATCAGGACCAAACAAAAAGGCCTATCAGGCACTCAGACGGAGGCTAAAACGATTCTTGTTGCTGAAAGACAAAAATGAAAAAGACAGAGGCGAGGTTCTCCTCTGTTCTCCAGAGCCGGTGTCTCCAGTGTAAAGGGACTGTGGTGATTTTACAGACATTATTGGGAAATGCACGCCACGCCTGCTCCTCCGTGCGCTCTCTTGTCTCTGACGGGGCAGCTCGTATTGGTCACTACGTTCCCAGTCGCAGGCAGGCCACGCCGTCGCTTTCCTGGCTCAGCTCTCTGTCCCTGTCAGCACCATCTTGCCCCGGGGAGCCCAGCGTCCTGTGGGGGTGGGGACTTTTGACCGACATGGAAGCCAAACTCAGGGTCCGAGACGGGTGAGGCGAGTGGGGACGGTATCTGCTGCTGTTAATACGAGGGTCTGGGGAAAGAGAGGGGGAGGAGTCCTGGTGCCTGTCTCCACCTGTCTGCGACCCCTCATCTAAGGGGCTTTCAAGGTCAGAATCCCCTTCTTCGTCATCCTCCTCCTCTTCCTCCAGGGTGAGTTCAAACTGGAATTTGTCTCCTCCCGCTCCCCCTCCTGTTGAGGAGATAGCTCCTCCAGCTCCCACAGCTCCGTCTGCTGGTCCCACCTCAGCATGGTGTTCATCTGGGCTCGTGGGCGACGGGCTGCGGGGGATCATGCTCTGGTACCACTCCCTGTTGTCCTCCAGCGTGTCCAGGATGTCCTGAGCATCAGGGTGCACCAGGTCTGCCCAGGTCTCCCACAGAGGATGCACGATGTAGTCAATGAACCCCACCTGGTGACAAACATTGTTACAAACAAAAACAAAACAAAAAAAATAACAACTGAACTGAAGGACATTCTGAGGTGTATTACCTGGCTCTTTTCTATGGAGGCGTTGTGTTTGTCACACATGGGACTGATTTCCATGCCCTTGTCCCGCTCTCTGTCTCCCTGTGTGAAGAACTCCACCATGATGCGGTCCGTCCACTTCCGGTAAAGCTCCAGTGGTTTGGTTGGGTTGCTCAAGTCAGCACAGTGGACCATGTTCTGTAGAACCTGCAGAAACACAAAAACTCACCATGTTACAAACTGCTTTGTTTATATCACATTTGTGGAGTCTAAACATCTTGTGTGTATTATGGGCATTGGATGATGTTTGGATCTCCTCTAACCTGGATGCGGTCAGAGTAATTGTCGAGTAGCAGGACTCCCAAGCTCGTCACCTTCTTGGTCTCCACCATCGTCTTCATGTCTGCCAAGAAGTTCATGTGTTTGGACATATCTGTGGCCAGCACCTGAAGAGGTTCCCAACATTACAGTTTAGAAAACAAGTATTACTATAAAGGCCTTTAACAACATTAAGTAAATACAGAACCAGTTCTCAAAGCCCAGCTGATCTGAGAACCGCATTAGTATTTGATAAATAAACAAAAGAATCACCGACCATGTCGATCACCATCTTTCGGAGGGAGTCCTTCTGCTTCTTGCTGAGGTTCTGGAAGATGTCACAGTTTTCTTCTTGCAGTAGTTTGAAGCCCACAGCGAGATGATGGTTCTCCAGAACTGAGGCATCGTTGTACATGAGAGCTAGCTCAGAACCTGCAAGGGGGTCAAGTCAAACGGTCAAAATCAAACAGAACGATTACAAGGCATCCCTACATAAGACGAGGATTTGAAGACTTGTTTTATTCGAACACATTTGCAGTGGTCTCAAGTATGAATGCAAGCCTTGTGAGTCGATTTCAGCGGATAAAGCTCTGGTGCTCCCGATTAAGGAACACAGGTGAGCAAGAGGAAAGGTGATATAAAGACGACAGGATCTGGAGTCTTATTCCCTGATATTTGGACATCTCGTCTCTGACTGGATAATAGGAACACAACTCCACCACTGATTCCATTTGCTCTGCAACATTAATGTTTTATCACCACAAATAACACAAGCCTGGGGGAGTTCTGCTGTGTGGTGGAGTTGCTAAGGCTAACGGTTAGCTTCTACTAGCTTAGATGTTCTTTGATGTTTCCTGAACGCTAAACCAACAACAGCCTTCCTTGTTGTGAATCCATGAATGTTAATTTTTAGTGTGGCGTAAATCTAACTGGCTTTTCTAATCTGAGCGTTTCCCTGTCTATCTTCCATCGACGGCTAATGCAGGAGATAGGGGTAGAAGATCAGATTTCAAAAAGAACAAGTAAAAAACGTTTTCTCAGTGAAATTGGTCTTTCGTGGTCCTCCACACGTCACTCTACAAAATAAAATAAACAAAGGTGCCAAGACTTACCTTGTTAAAACTCAAATAATGCTTTAAAAGCTAAATAAACACTTTTATTTCAAACATGCCAACATTAGTACATTCATTTAGTTTTTCTAAATAAATCAAATGTATTTTTGGTTATGTGGAAACCATAAAATGTAAAAGGAAAACACATTTTTCATTCAACATAACTTTATTTTATTGTTTTCAGATTAATCCAAATCTGGTTTAAATATTTTGTGGGACTGAACAAATTTTAGACTAAACCAACAAAAGGGTTCTGGTTTACTGATGTCAATACTTTGAATTTAAGAAGACTAACAAAACAACAAGCTTTTTTCATTTCACTAAAACTTTTACCCATTTTTATTGTATGTGTGCTCCATCAGGTAACTCAACTAATTTAATAATTGTACTGAACCATGATAAAATGTAATAATTGATAACTGCCACAAAAACATGTGAATCACGCTCCCTGAGAAATCTGAAATTATTAGAGCATTCTTTAATATAAATTAGGGCCGTGACTCAATTAAAAAATTGTATAGAATTAATTAGAGGCTTTGTAATTAATTAATCTAAATTAATCACATTTTTAGAGTGTTTCTGTTTTAACTTAAACTTCTGTTTTCAACTTTAAGACATGTTGTTTGTGATTGTTTACAGAGTAGTGAGAACACGGAGCGTTCTCCCAGCGGCAGCCAGATGCCTCTCATTTGTCTGACTACTTTCATAAACTACTGTTAGGGCAAAGAATTATTCTGTCTGGAGCTTTCAGCGCTGCACAGATGTTACGTAAATGTTAAAAATATAGCTTACTGCAACTTTTGTAAAGTTTCCGGTGCCACCAGGCAGCTGCAGCAGAGACGATCTCTGAAAAATGTCCGGGACACGGACTCCGTTGTTGTCTGGAAGTTTTTTTTTCCAAGTTAAGAAAAGAGGCGGACGGGTTTCCTAAATCCTGCATCAGTCCAAGCAAGGCAACTTCTTTCTGTTTTTATTCTGATTTAGTAGACATTAGCACTGTGCATTGTTGTGTGCGTCAGTGATATTCGGTCTACAAGGAAATCATGCAATAACAAAGGTTCCGCCTTTCTCGAAATGCAAGCTGTGATTAAATGCGTAAATTTTTTTTAATGCGTCATTTTTTTCTAATTAATTAATCATAATTAACGTGTTAAAGTCCCGGCCCTAATATAAATACATGGTTTTTAGTTCTTTTAGTTACCTGAACCTTTATTTAAAATTAATGCGTTTACAATCAATTTAATTGTAAATAAATGTGTTTATGTATTTATGAAGATGGTGCAGAACCAGAGAGGAACCTACTGGTGTTAATGAGGAACTGGTTGGTGACACCTGGATGGTCGACATCGTGGATGGCGCTGGCGAACAGAGCGGCCATGATCTCCAGGTCTGTGAACACGGCCTTGAGTAAACAAAGACAAACATTCAGAACAAATCAAATCTCAACTGGAAATGATACAAAGAATTACAAAGACCAGCTCACCTCTAAAGCAGGAGTGGACAGGAGGACGTGGGTAGACTGCACCACGTCAGCTGCATGGATGTTGTTGTGATACGCTACGTCCATGTGGTAGTGGTCCTCCAAGGTCATCATGAACGTAATGAAGGTGTCGATAGGCACCTTAAAGGTTTTCAGAAGGTCGCGCTCCTGACAGAGAAGAAAACAAGACATCAACCCCTGAACGACCTGCTCTGGTGAGGAATTCTGACCAAACTGAAATGTTCCGCATCGACACCCTACCTGGAAGATGGAGTACATGATCACCGTCAGAGGACGATTTCCTGAATATTCTGCTAATTTGAAAATATCCATACCCCAACGACTAAGGTCCTCGATTTCCTGTGAGGCGGGGAAAAGGACACGTAAGAGAACACAGTGAGATTTCTGTCGGTGTGTTGGACAGCGATTCTACCTTTGCCAGCTGGCTCTCGTGAGGTGTGTTAACTCCAAAGCGAGGGATGCAGGCAGACGCTAAGCTTGGACTCTGTGTGGCCTTTTTCACACCACTGATCTGTGACATCGGCCTCTTCTTCTTCTCTTTCTCCTTTGAAGGCGGAGACAGGATCTCCACGTCATGTTGCTTTTCTGCAACACAAAAACAGACGGATACAGTTGAAGGGAAACCTGTGGGGAAGGGGGCTTTGCACCGACTCACTACATAGTGTAAAATATCATTTGGGGAGATCACCCATACTTGAGTAAAAAAAAAAAAGCAACAGTTGAAATTTGGTGATTAAAAAACAAAATCAAATCTGAAAACCCAAATTTGTAAACTAAAGTGTGACCCCGATCTTACAATCCCGGTCTGACCTCCCCCCTGCTTCCTCACAGAATGAAGCAACACTTAAAGCCAGTTTTTTACATTTAAACTCACATCTTCCTGCACATATGCAAGCTTCAGTCAACTAAAAATCACACATCACCCTAACCCTAAACGCTGAGCTGAACCCAAATACTAAATATCACTAAACCATACTAAATATCACTAAACCATACTAAATATCACTAAACCATACTAAATATCACTAAACCATACTAAATATCACTAAACCATACTAAATATCACTAACCATACTAAATATCACTAAACCATACTAAATATCACTAAACCAACCAGGAAGGCAAGGAGCCCTCCATCCTGGTGACACCACGGATGAAATGATCAGGATTCTCCGCTGACAGATTCCCCTCCAAATGACTAAAACCATTTCCTGTTTGCAGAATAACAATCCACACTCTAGAAGCTAAAACAAGTCAAACGCGGAAACAAATATATTTCCCGTGCTTGTGATGAAAGAGGCTTTTTAGCACAACACATAAAAAATGACCTTGTGTTCAACAGCATCTCAAAAACACATTTCAACACAAGTGGGACAAACGATGAACATATGATATGCAGTTTTCTGACGTGAAGGAATTTAAATGTAGGAAATATTATTGATGATGCTTCACAGGCTGGGCATTTCTTAGCCCAGTGAGTAACGATCACAATGAGAGAAACAACAGACTCCATCTGTTTCTGGTTTGGTGACATAAAAGGTGCTGTCCCAGGAGACATGCTTGTGTTAAAATGACTCATCTGTTTCCGAATATACCAAATAATATAATAATCCTGCTTTGACATCACGATGAGACCGTTATACCTCATGTGCACACATCATCTCTCCTATCTTCCAGCCACATACTCCCTCTTCCTTTCACAGCCAGGCACCAGCGACTGCCTGAAACCCCCCAGATCTGAGCCTCGATACAAACACACGACACCGTAAAGACACACAACGACCTGAATGGCAGCTTTGCAGGAGGCACCGTCTGGCTCCTCTCACCTCTCTCACAATGCCTCCTCTTCCTTACAGCCAGAGACAAGGAGCTCATTTCCAAACGCAGCCGAGCTCGAGGGACTCATCTTAAAACAACGTCTGAGTGACAGCGCCATCCTCGTTCGGCTGGACCATCCTGCCAAAGGGGCTGCTGAAGACTGAATCTCCTATTGATGAAACACGCCGTTGAATAATATTGAACCCCGTTGCCACGACAACGCCACACAATGTGTCCGGGAATGCTCTGCTGCTGCACCTCCTTTCGCTTCAGAGACGGAGAAATCCTCACCTTCTTCTTCTCTTTCAGAAACACCCTTTTTTTGGGCTCATTTAAAAAGAATGCATTCTACACTTCAGTTCCTCCCACCTTTTGTTTTATCATCTTCTCCAATAAAATAACATCCTCATTTTAAAAAATGTCTATTTTTGCATCATTTTCTTTTACCTTCCATTTGAATCTCTTAGTCTGGTTTTATACAAACATTTACTGGGAAGCGTTCAGATGTGAATAAAGCTAACAGCACACCTTTAATAAAACAGGTGATGCATTCATGCAAATCAGACTTTTTTTTAGATCTCAGCCTCACCTGAACCGCAAAACACTGACATGTGTTGCTCTGCAACAAAGGCTTTAGGAACATTTGGGGGTATATAACTGTACCTGAGGCGACGTTATGTGAGACAATCTACAAGCAAAAATGTGTCGTTAAAAGTGTGTGATCCACAGCTCAACACAGTCATCTAAAAACACACGTCACAGCATAATTTTAAAGTTGATGGAGTTTTGACTCCACCAGGTGTTTCTGTCTTCTCAAACCCCCAACGACTCGCCGTGGATGGCTGCTCATATCGAGCCAGGTTCTGTTTGGGGGCTTCTTCCTGTCAAAGCCCGTGGGCCGCCATCCAGCATGTTTTAGTTGTTTCCCTGTTCCAGCACACTTGATTCACCTACTCGGCAGCTCACCGATCTTTACAGATGCCTGTTAAACAGCTGCTGGTTAAAATCAGGCGTGTTGTAGCAGGGAAAAAAACAAAACATGCTGGATAGCGTTCCTCGAGGACCAGAGTTGCTTACCTGTGTTAAAGGGGAACGTTTCCCCTCCACTGCCGCTGCATGCTTGCTTACCATAGGGATTAGTGTAAAGTCTCTCACACAAGCCAGTGACATGATGCACTCTGCTGGGTTTTCTTCCATAGGGAATCTTTTATCCAACTGGCATAATGAACTGAACTCAATGCACTTATAAGTAGGTTCAATTGGAATGTTTGTGAAGTGACACTTGTTGTGACCTGGTGCTGTATAAAGATACTGACTTGAACTGAACTCACCGAGGAAGGTGTTGGCGATATAATTTGACACCTGATTCCCTGAGCGGCTCGTCTCCGACAGCTGTGTCAGCTCGCGGTTCAGCATCCTCTTAAACTGTATCAAAGAAACAAGAAACACCAACAAAAACGTGGCATTAACCTGAGTGGATTACACACAAATAAACACACGTCTGGCCATTTAACTCATTCACTGCCAAATAACGACTTAAGTCGTCATTTGCATTTTGTTACTGTGTGGGCATCAGAACGAGCCCCCGCGCCGAGAGAACAAACATCTCAGCTCTGAAGCCGATCTTCATCCGCATACGCCACACGTCACGTGATCAGGAAGCAGAAAATCCATGTGTTAGGAGATTGTTTTGGGCCGTTGCTGTAAAAAAAGTGAGGCGCGAACCGGAAAAGCATCTGCCGATCACAATTCAACAACGGATTATGAAAGAACAGATAACGCTCGAAACGCGTGGATGATGTAAGAGGTGAGTCTCCGCTTTGTTTTGGTTGTTTTTGTGTCGACATCATCCTAGCGTGCAACGTTCTGTGACTCCTAAAAAAAACTGTAAAAACGGTGAGAAACGCTGGCAGCGAATGAGTTAAAGAGCTGGTTTTTCATCTGTTAGGTAACTGTGTAGCGATCTTTTTAGAAGGTAAATAAATACACGTTGATTGTATCATTGAAGATAAGTGAAAAACAACGATAAAAAGCTTTTTAGACTTCCACTAACTGGACTTTTTTAGAGAAATCACTAATAGGTGCCTTCTGATTTCAGTTTGCTCGTTTCGGCTCACTTGTGAACACTTTTAAATCTAGAACGCTTTAAAAAGTTAAGTATGTCCCACACTTAAAACTTCCTATTTTAACTAAAGAAGAAGGAAAAAATGAAAAAAGTTCAAAAACCAGCTGTTTTCAGTTTTTTAAAAACATGAATTATTAACAGATTCTGTACAGTAAAAATCTCTGAATCCCTTCCAAAAGCCTTTAATGACAACCGTTCCTTGTTGAATCCATTTAAGAGAAAATCTATCCAGAAAGCTGGCGTGTATGGGCAGGTTAACACAACAGAACCGTTTCTACAAATGTGTTTATTGTGATCAACTTGTTTTCCGTCTGTAATGATGAATAACTGACACAAAATTGTTTTGATTTAAAAGCACAAAAGAAAACAATGGAAAAAGTGTTTGAAGTGTTTCTGGAGGAAAATATAAAAATAATGACACCACTGACACCAAAAGTTTGTTTCTCAGTAGATTTGATCACTCTGGTAGTTTCCACGGCGATTATGTAACAGCTTCGGCACGCGGCAACTGAGGGAGGAGGGAAGGGAAAAGCGATCGGGCAGAAAGAGCAATGCTGCAGTTTTCAAACAACTACTCTGTGATCCTGGAGCTACGACAGAAATCTGCCATTGTTTATGGTGGATCTCCTGTCTCCTGCTCAGGTAAATGTCTTCATCTCATGCAATCACAAAAAGACACATTTACACACTAAATCCCTTCAAACCGAAGCTCTGATGAGGATGCTTTAACTTTACATGCGCATCCTGTTTGTCACACACATTTTGGAGTTTGAGCCTGTTTGTTTAATCTGTTCCTGAGTCAGATTCACTCAGCATTCTGCCACCTATAAGCCATCAGTACATCCCACTATGAACAAGGACCGCCAGCATCCCTCCCCGACACTCACCTGTCTGAGTCTCCACCACAGAGCAAACCAGAGCGCCAGTAGAAGCATGGCAGCCTTCGCATGTCGGTGTAAAAGCAACTAAAACCCAAGTTTGTCTGCTTCAGTGATCGGCTCTAATTTCCCCTCTAAGTCCTGCAGGATGAGCTGTCTGTGGCTCAAAACAGATCAAGATGGAAGTGAAAGTTCCCAGAGTCCCAGGTGCTGATCTGAAGATGAAGGGGTGCAACAGAGATGAAGGGGGGGAGTTTGGAAAAGAGCTCTAACAGCAGGAGACATGGGGTGTGACTGCAGTGACTTATCCAGCTACGGTTACACACCATCAATGAGAACGAGGGAAAGAGGGAGAGGCAGTGAGGAACCCCCGCCCCCCTGTCCTACATGCTGTCCGCCATTTCTGTCCAATCACAGGCGCCTGGCTGCAGGGGCTGGGTGGAGGAGAGAGATGTGATAGGCTGACTCTGGGATGCAGGAACCACATGGGGAGGAGAAGCTGAAAGAAGTGATGCTAATTAACTCTTTCAGAGGAGGGGAGTGATACTCATGAACTCTGGTGTTTGTTCCCACAAAAAAGATTTTTTAATTCTTCTTTGACTATTTAAATGCTTAATCTTTTATTTTCACGGATATGAAACATTTTCTGCTTCATGTGACCTGAATATGATGTGATGTGTAAAACTGCTGTAGAAAAGATAAAAATGTTGATTTCTAAATTTAGCTTTTTTATACTCAGTTTTACCAAAACAATTTAAATAAATCAAATCTTGCTGAGTTTATATACAATTAAATTAGCTGTTTGTTCACCTTATTTGATGCCATCTCGCTGACTGAGTGTCTCGTCTGCAGCGTCTCCAGCTGGTCCAGACACCAGTCCAATTCTTCCAGTGTTTCCACCGCCAGCTTCTGATAGGGCTCCTCTGAAAAGTGACAAAAACACACACGGTGGGTCAGAGATGGAACCAAAACATCCATGTCTTTCATGCTGCAAGACTTATAATTTTAAGTAAGTTAAGGAAACCTTGTTCATGAGTGACAAAAGCTGGGGACACCGTCGTACCTGAAAGACATGGTTTGCACATAGGAGGCTGACTGGTGCCTGTCGGACGTCTGAAACACAACACAAAGGGTTAATTTAGTAAATTAAACAAAGACAGCAAGCAGTTAGTCATTCAGCTGCTTTCTTGTTCTTACTTGTTTCCAACACGGTCCTGAAGGTGTGTCAAGGCAGCAACGTTACTTCTCACAGTTCGAAGACTGGCCAGAACCTGAGGCAGAAAAACTAAATTATACATTTTTGCACAGAATCAGAACTACCTGTCTAGGTGTCACTAACACCATGTAAGGTGGGCTTTATTATAGTGTGAATCTGCAGCCAGCCTTTAACATTTGTAACGGAACGGAAGACTGTGCTTCTTTCCCTTCTTAGCTCAAGACCGGTCTGCATGAGACATAACTCAAGGTCTCATGCATTCCTTCTAACCTGCTTATTTTCAGCTCAACAGAAGAACGAAGAATGAACTCTTTTCTTTTAATTAATCAAAGAACTCTATTTTAATACAAATAAGATGTGACTAGTGAGTAAGGTGGTTCGTGAAGGCACGTGGATTATCTGGACAGCGTAGATTTTACAACTCTTGTTTGATGAAAACATCACAGCAGAAAACAGCAAGTCTGTGTCTGATGTATTGTGGCCACATAAAACAGTTTTCACTGCACTCATTGATGGATTAAATAGATTAATGGCATCAAGTTGGGTAAGGACCTACACATCAGTGTGTGTGACAACTAATGGGACTTTAACTTTAACTTAACTTTAAAAGTCAGTGTGTCCGAGCATGGCCTGCTGAGATTACAGCTTCAGGATATGGCAGCGTGAATTAGATCTAAATACAAAAAGTGAAAGTGAAATCTTCTTTCTTTTACAATTGTTTACGCAATGTGTTTTTAGCTCTGTTGGACTCAAGAAGACAGAAAATAATGTTTTTATGATTTAAACAGTTGTGAATTAGTTAGATTGACATTGCATGAGGTCTCGAGGGCCATTACCAATTCTTGACTCCTATTCCCAAGTCCGGTTTGTCTCAAAGAACTATAAATAACTGAAAAATTATTTCTAAATATCTATAAAATTATGATCCTTGAAGTAAAAAAAAATTCCACATGGCGGATCTGTTGCTGCTAGCATGAATTAGCACATAGCAACGAGTGTTTCTGCTTAGCACTGTTGTACTTCAGATTTCTAAGTTTCAGATTATCAATCTCAGATTAGGTCGATTACAATGAATATTGATAAATGATAAATGACCCACACTTGTATAGCATCTTTCAAAGTCAGAGGACTCCAAAGCGCTTTACACTAGAGTGTATCCTTCATCCATCCACACACTGATGGTGATGAGCTACAATGTAGCCACAGCTGCCTCGGGCTACACTGACAGAGGCGAGGTTGCCGAGCACAGGCTCCACCAATTATGACATACAGTCAGAAAAAATAATCTTTGGGTGCATTTGTGTCACTGGTGATGTCGGAGCATTGGTGAGAAATGAAAAAGTGCAAAAAGCCCTAACAAAACTTTGGCTTTGCAGATTTTGAGTTTCAGCTGAAATCACAGGAGTCGTATAGTTTGATAAAACAGGGAACATAGCAGCAGTGTGACTAACCTGTGCAAAGGGAGTCACTATCATGTCTTCTCCATGCCTAAAACAAACAAATCAAACATCTGGTGAAAACGTGAGAGGGAAATGTGATTTCAAACTTCCAAATGATGTTAAAAACCATCAAAAACAAACGATGACAAACTGGAGAAAAACTGCATGTGGTCCAAATACAAGAGTGGGAAAACTGGGAAAGGGTCACATTAGTTGCACAAATATATTTTACGAGTTGCAGCAGCTAAAAAGGGAAGTGGATGTTAGAACAACTGAGGAGTTACGATGATGAACCAGAAACAAACCTGTTTCCTTGAACTTCAGAAATCTGGAGCTGTGCACAGGTAAAAGAGCAGCGCTCATGCTCTGAGTGTGGTTTGAAAAGGTGAAGCTCTTAAGAAGCTCTAACATCACATCATGCACCTGGAACGACTTCAGGGTAAAACCATGCTGCTAGGGGACGGTAAGTCAACCTGTGCAGCGGAGTCCAGTAACAGTTTTGATGCTGCTCAGACTTCAAAAATCTGTGTCTGCACATGATATAAACTGTTCTAATGTGACTTTATAAGCATAATTTCTGCCACATGCTGGCTGGGACTTTAGTTCAGGTTCAAGATGAGGTGACATGGAAGCAGAGGGGGTTGAAACATAGGACAGCCCAAAGAGACAGACAGGAATAAAAACACAGCAATCTTCACATGTTGTCTCACCGAGGCAGCCAACTGACTTCCCAATGCTTCAATCCTTCCTCCCTTCAAAACAAAGGAGCGACAGCTATTGGTGGTCGAGGCCCCATTTACATTTTGACTGGCTTCAAACAGACTTTAGCTGCACAGAGAAACCTTTAGCTGTATAAACAGACAACCTTTTTTCTGCTGGCAGCAGGCAATTTAAACCCAGATACTTACAGACGAGACTTTGGGTTTAATGTAGTTTCGATAGAGGATTTAACAACGGAGGATTTTTGGTCAAACACCGAACTGTAAGCATCTGTTTGTTTGCTGATAATTTTGCTAACAATGATGTAATTCTCAACATTTTTTTGCAGTGCACCCAGGTGAACTTAAAAGCCCCAGTGTGTGAAAAAAGTAGACTCTTTAGCGCCACACAGTACAGAGTACCGGTGGGTATCACAGCTATGGTAGCCCACACACATCAAAAAGGCAATGTGTCATCAACTTCTTCCAATTTTCAATTCAGCAATCAGCTCCATTATTTTAATAGGGTCTATGCTATGGACCCCTGGATAACTTCCGGGTTGCAGTAACGTTCGTGTTCTCTATCCTGTTTTTTACTGCCAAGAATAACGGTCAATCAGAACCAGAAGGGTTTTAGTTCCATGTGCAAGAAGATTCACAACATGAGGAAATTGCTGCTGAACAGTCAGGTGCAAACACAACACAGTCAAGTGACTGAAACAATGCGACTGGAGTGAGCAGTCCTAGGATTGTCATTCACAAGTCCAACAACAGAGGGGACGAAACTGTTATTGTGGCAAGAGGTTCTGGTCCGAATGGATCGAAGCCTCCTGCTAGTTGGGAGGCTCCTCCAGGGTGAGACGGGTCAGCTGTGATCCGACCTGCATGCCCCAATGTCCTGGAGGTGTACAGGTCCTGTACTAAAGGAAGTTTGCAGCCAATGACCTTCTCAGCAGAGCGCACGAATCCAGGCCACATTTAAGATGCCACATGCAAATAGTGACAAAGGTTTTAAGTAGCATGAGTACACCTACATTTATTATGAAGGTGAGTTAACAAACCTCTGCTAAGTGATGACACATGCTCGCACTTCACTAGCCAAATTTAGCATGGTGTGAATCAACGCTAACAATGTTATCAGAGACAAAGGGTAATAGTTTTATCGTTTATGATAACTCTGATAGCGTTGTTAGCGTTGCTTCCTAGTAAAAAGCTAGCACGTTGGCCTAGAAATCTAGAACTTCTAGTCACGCTCTATTGGAACCTCCACAGCCCGGACAGTCTGATGCCGTGCCAATCTCAGCGCTCTATCAGTTTGGAGGGTGTGTTGTTACTGCGACTTAGCAAAACTAAAATAGTGATGGCTTGTTTGAAATGGCTTTGGCATCAACTTTAGACTATTTAGACTTCATCTGACTCAAGGGCAGATACAGGAACGTAAGTCCTTTATTTAGAAAAATAATGTATTTGCATCTTCTTGGATGGTGTAAGGCCGACTGCCCTCTTACTGACATGCGTAGTGGTGAGTATGTCACGTTGTTTGTTGTCTAATAGCACGTGGAGACAGTTTGAAAATCAACCGCAGATTCTATCCCACGACTAAAGCCTGACTCATGCTTAAGCAAAGGCACATTTGCGCCCCCGCTGCTGCAGCGTCGTATCTCCTCTGCATTCATACTGGCCCGACCCTGTTGCAAAGAAATTCTCCGCCAAAACAAAAGAGGCGGCACTCCTATGCAGGTGTGCATACTCTTGTAGTGACGTGTCTGCCCTACTACTATTTACTATTTGCGACGCACATATACTCGCAAAAAGATGGACGACACAGACACAGAGCGAATCATTTTATTGAGCAGGAGCTGCTTGAGCTAGAGGAACAACTGTTATTAGAAAGAGCACAGCGAGAACGACGAAGGAAGAGGCATCGGTGGTGTGTAAGTCCATTGTCAACACTTGCGCTGTTTACATTTTTTAAGGGAAGCTACATCGTGCCGGAAATGACGTTGGGTTGTTTGGCTGACCAATAACAGACGTCCAGCATACAACGCGGCCGTCGGATGTTTAGAAAATAGAGCTGGACTCCAACCGACGATCCAACAGTGTTGGATCGCCCATACGACGTCGCATCATGGCGATCCAACAGACCCGACATGCTGGAGCAGTGTCAGTATGAATCAGCCTTAAGAGTCGGTTGTGGCCAGACGATATATTCACATATATACTGTAGGATAGCTTGCCAGGCTACTAGCATGTACCATTAAGCAACTCATGGCAGAAGCTTGCTAACTTGCCTTCAAAGTTATGAATGTCTGTAAACACGTACAATTTTAAACCTTAGTCTTCCATTGTGCCATCTTAGATGTAGCCCCGATAATTCCGTAAACATTGTTGATATTATCTTCGGCCGGTCCTGCATACAAATGACATGGAGAACACGAAGGTTACTGTGACCCGGAAATTCAGCTGGCTAAAAAGTCAGGAAGTGTCAAACCAGGGGTCCGTGGCAAACAGCCTTTTACCATTCTAAACTAAATTTTATCTAAAAATGTGTTGAGCAGTAAAAACGGAGAGGCGGAGGTGTGTCACATGTGGATGGAACAAGGCAAGCAACCCAAGAGGAAGGAATAGAATTTCCTCAAACCATCAAGGTTTTTACAGAGAGAACCGACACCACCCCTATATCAAACATGTCCCTAAACAGCTACCGTATTTTAACACGGGGCATGACTATGGAGTGTCAACCACAGTCTAAGTGTATGAAAAAGTACATTTTCAAGCAAATAGGAATACTTAAAAAACATGTTGGTGAGAAAATGTAACGAAAAAAGAACGGGATAACTAGATATTAAACGTGTCAAAATATTACACTGGGGCTTTAACACCAATAATGATTCTGATATTATCAACAACTTTTTTATTTTGTTCCAGTGAAGCGCCTCGTGGTTTTGTCTTGAGGGGTTCTGTACAAAAAATAGTTTCTTCTTCTTCCTGTTAAACAAAGGATCCCTTTATTAACGTTCCCAATTTTGTTAACTAATACATGTCCTTAAGATTAGGACAAAGAAGAGGGTCTGCTTACTGCATTACTTAATATTAACATTAATATTAAGCAGTGTTTAACACTTTATTTAATTGGTTTATTAATGCTTAATAATGCACTAAGTAACATTAATAAAGAGACCCTTATTGTAAAGTGTTACCCAAGCATCATGTTTTTTTCTTCAGCTGTGATGCAAATGAAAACAAAACTCCACGATCCTTTTGTTTAAATCTGAACCAAAGTCACAGCTTTTCACTCAAAGGGCTAACCCCAGAAAGCACTTACAGGTCGCTGGCGGTGGACGAGTTACGAGACATGGCTTTGGGTGACAGGTCGAAGTCTGAGTCGGAGCGGTAGAGGAAAGACTCGCGGCGCTGACTGTGAGGGTAGTTCCCCTGCAGAACCAGACCCGAGCCTGGGCTAGTTTGAGAGTCCAGTGGACTGCGACCCACTGACAGGCCATTCTCCACATCAAAACTGCAGAAAGAGACAAGAAATAATAAAATTCAATCTTTTTTTCTAAAAAAAAAAAGGCTTTTTTATACTGCCTGGGATTGAATATCTATTGTTTGGAATTGTTTTTCAACCATATCTTTGTGAAAAAACTTAAGTTGCTGCAGTAAGTAAAAATACACATAATGAAGCTAATAAAAGGCATTTAAAAACTAGTTCAAAACATTAGGAACCACCTATAAACCTGCTGTTTGTGTTTTATTGTTTGGTCAAACACTTAAAAATGTCCCTCGGTAAGGGGAATCCTGAAAATGACCTTTTCTTCTCAAACCTAAATGGGTTTGAGAAGAAATTACAGCTTCAAAGGTTTTCTGAGATATTGTAATGATTTACAAAGTAAAAGCAAATCTGTTCAAAAACACTAAAGCACTGTCTGAAAATGATTTGTTCCATTTGTAGTTAAGACAGTAGGAAAACTATCCTCCATTTTCAAAATAAAATGTTCTAACAAGGTAATAAAACCCACATGCTTCCGATAATCAGACAGTTTCAGAAGGAAAATTGCACTACCTTTACTCACAGGTGCTAGACGGTTTGAATCACAGAAGTAAAAGTGGGAAATTTCTCAACAAAAAAAACACACCTTTCTCTTTTATTACATAGAATGACTAGCAGCAGACAAAATAAGAGAAAACTACTGTAAACCTGCACCCCTTTGCTAACCATCTGCTAGTGAGCAGCATGATAAAATCACTTCTGGCTGAAAGCGGGACAGGTCACCTTGTGATAACTGGAATTCCACAATCAAATATGCTCTTACGCACATCTTCTCTGTGCTCTCTGTACATGACGCCAGCATGGGCGTGTTTCATCAGTGTGGTTACCTAAACCCTCCGGACCAATCCTGCCATCAGCCCACCACAGGGCGGGTAACCAGCTGCTCTGCTGCTTTTTAACTCAGTCCAACGCCTCAAAATAAACATCACAACTCACTTTGGCCACCATTAAATCGTTTTGAAGTTCTTCCAATTAAGATGAAGTCCTTTCTGCAGACTCTATGCTGCATAATTATACTGTGCCTTGCTTAAAGACACACAGGCTGTTAATCAGGAGGTAAAACAAACTACAGGCTCAATTAACTTGATCTAAAAACCCAATAATTGTTGTTTCTCTGAGGATAATTTTCCTTACTGATGTGATTTTCCAGCACTAGTGTGGATGTCTCGGTGACAAACCAACAAGACTTGTCGTTTTTTCTGAATGTGCTTTTGTTGCATCCATTAAATTCCACGGTTGTCCCCCTCCCTCTCTTCACTCGCCCATATCAACAGAAAAGAGAGAGCCAACATTGCCTCTTGGTCTATTTTTAGCTCTGCCTCCAGGGCTCCACCAGAAATAGTTCAGATAAATGAAAGATAGCTGTTATGCAACGGATCCTGAATGAAACAGGCTCAGTTAACAGAAACAGAGAGATGAGGAAGAGGAGGAAGGCTGCATCCAGCACAGTGATGTGTTTAGCAACTCGCACCTGATTGGTGCAATGAGATGGAGAGAGGCAGGGCTGCAGCAGCAGGGTTTGCCTCAATGACACCCCCTTCCACCACTCTTCACCCAGCCCCACTTTGCACCCACCCTCCCCCCGTCCCAGCTCGGTGTAGCCGGGCGTGACGAGGCTCCATCAGAGGAGCCCAGCAGTGACGTCAGGAGCTATAAATAGATCAGCCTGACAGGAAAGAGGTGAACTGGGAGGCTTGTGGTGCTTACGTAGATGCCCCTCCCCCCCGTTAGCTCTCCTCTCAGGTTCCAGATAATTTCTCCTCCACACGTTATGTTCATGAGGGATTCTATTTTAAAACTGTACAAGGTATCTCCTCAGAGCAGGGCTCCTGCTCGTGTCCTTATGTTGTACGTTTTTCCTAACTCTCCTTCATCCAGTTGAATTTGCTCCAAATCACCTTTTAAAATCGTAGGCTTTGAATCAGCTGGAAAAAATATCACCTTCATGTGGAGTCTATTTGAAGAGAATCACCAAGGCTAGAAGCAGTTGCACACATAAGAATATAGATGACTATGAAACAGATATAACTAGGATTGATTCATCCTCTGAAAGCGCTTGTTCCTGTAGGGAGCTGGTGCCTGTCTTCAGCAGTGACCGGGTGAGGGACGGGGACACCCTGCACAAGTCACAAGTACAAAACCAGTACTAGAGTCAAAGCTATTCAGTTCCATCATTTATGGAAAAATCAAAATCCTGAACAAACAAAAATACACATGAAAGGAAAATATAACAGCTTATACCAGATTCATTATGTTAAAGGCTGCATCCGCAGATTTAGGAGTTTTCTGTAGCCGTGAAGAAAAAAATAATATAATTTCTAGCAATAAAAACCACAGCTGGACTGCATCTGATGGAGGCACAGCACCCACTACTGAGGGAGATCAGACACTACAGCTGCTGCTGAGGTGTGTCTTTATTTTTAATTATCTTATTCTGTATTTGCTAGTTTTATTTCCGGTTTTTCTTTTTGTTTTCCCGGTCTGAAAACTTTAATTTTATTAAAATAAATTATCCCATTTATCTCCACATCTTCTAACAGCTGTACACTCACTTATATCTTCACCACTCCAATCAAAACCCTGCGATCGCCACTGACAGGGGACACTCACAGGAGGGGACGCTGGCGTCTTGTATATTTAAGACATGTATTAAAACTTGACCTTGGTCAGTCTCCTGCCTCATGCATTGTTCTCCATTTCTCTGACGTACATCAACACTCCCCTTTCTCTCTTTAAACTCTGTTTTATTTAACGTTCCTCTCTCTCACACACAAATACATCCTCACCTCTGCTTTTGTTCCCAGGATGTTGAGTTAGTGAGAGAAGTGACAGAAAAAAAAAGATTAGATAGGTTCATTTTTTTATTTTGTTTTGATTTTACGAAACTTTCTTTACACATATGCAACAACAAAATAAACATCCCTGGCTTTAAAAAAAATCAGACAGTAGCTGCAGTTGTTTTAAATAACGGCGCGTTTGCTCATTGGAGTCTGGACCGAGGGATTTCAGACAGCAGCTCTTACGTGTACGAGAAAGATCAAGAGAAATGCCATCAAGTCCAGATGTTATCTGATGGAGAAATGACACAGACGCAGGACCAAAGGTCATAATCTACACACGCACACACAGTCCGTCCTGTTTTCTTTCCTCGTAGCGTGGGAAATGTGCCGAGGGGCCTCAAACATCACACCGGGAAGGAGCGGTGGGAAGAGGTGAAGGAAGAGCTTGCGAGTGTTTGACGGAGGCCAAGGTTAGTTGAAACCATCACAGTGAGCTTTAGCTCTGAGTCAGAGCTGCAAATTAGTAGACATAGTTAGGGTCCTGATGAAGGTAGAAAAAAAAGCATGTATGTTTGACTATCACAGCACATTTGTTCCAAAAGCAGCAGAAAAACAAGCCACTTCCCCTCTTATCTAGGCCGTGCCAAACAGATCCTTCCTTTCACTGTCACTCTGAGGTTTGTACCTCTGGCTCTTTGTGTGTAAATGTCATCATGACTGCACACACAAAGGAGACGTGGAGCATCGGGCTGGGACAAGAACAAGCAGGAAGTGTTTTTAATGCAGTTGGATCCGAGCAAAACAAAGGCAAACATCAAACCGCTACCCTGTAGGTTACCGCTTTGCAGTTTCATGAGTTTGACTAGACACCATTTCCTTTCAAATAACGATAAAAAAAATAAAAATTATTATTCTGCCCTGTAATCACCAACAGCTCCAGTTTATGTTTGTTACTTTCATTTATAGTTTCCTTTGTCCTCGGTTCACATCTTTGGCTTTTTTATGGTAATTTTTTATGGAATGACTGAAAGACTCGGGTAGTCCAAAGATCCTGCAGATTATTTCACAGACAATTTAACTCAGAAAAAGACTAAATATGTCACAAGTGAGCCATAAAAATAGCAATAAAAGTTAAACAAAGAACAAAACGTTCCTTTTATAACAATTTATATGAGTGTCTGCTCTGTATCTGCTCAGGAGAGAGAGCGGGTTGTCCAGTAATCAGAAGGCTTGAAGGGTTTGATCCTGGCTCCCACCAGATAATGCTGCAGTTGTGTCCTTGGGCAAGACACTTAACCCGCCTTACTTGCTGGTGGTGGTCAGAGGAACTGGCGGCGTCAGTGTTCGGCCACCTTGCCTCTGTCAGTGTGCCCCAGGGCAGCTGTAGCTACATCGTAGGTGATCCCCAGCAGCGTGTGGATGTGTGGCACTGTACAAATACATTTTTATCTGACACTGGTCCAACTCTTGTCTAGATCAACTTGTGTGTTTTCTGCAACTGATAACAACTAATAACCAGATGCATTTATGGTTTAATACCAGACCTACAGCGGGTTTTTATTTGCTTGTTTTTGGATCATATTAAATAATGGACAGACCAATACACATTACCTTAAAGGTGGTCAAATTTTTTAAGTTGTTTGATCTTTTAATTCAAATTTAAACAATCAGATGTTTTTTTAGATTTTGGTTTGTGGCTACACACATCCAGGCCCGAAGAGGGACAATGTACATCTAACAGATGATTATAGTTTTTCAGGTATTTTATGAAAATAAACGTATAAATTACACAAATCACAAATAAATAGCATATTGCCCCCTTTAAGTGACTTTCATTTATTAAAAAGATTAAAATGCATTTTAAATTAAGTGCTTTAATAGAGCGCTCTGGACTCACAAACCTCCACAAAAAACTGCTGATTCTTTCCCTTAACTTGGACGTTTACTGCTCGTCTCTGTCAGAACAGAGCAAGCGTGTTCAACATCTGATCCCAGAGCAGCTCATGTCTCTAAATATAGACAACAGGAGGAGAAGGCTGCAGCCAGTCATGCCAGCTGGTGTATTTAACAGTTTTCTGTCACCTCTGACCTAAAGGCAGAAGAAGAACTCATCTTGAAAAACTGCAAAAGCTCAGATTCACGTTCATGATTAAGCAAACTGAATGTTTGAAATGTGATCTAAAACTG